TTGTTCTCGATGATTCCACTGATCAAATCCAAATTTTCAAATCTCAAACCTTTATTTTCCAGATTAAGGAGTTTCTATAAAGTAAAAAGAAAAATTTTATATTGTTCGTCTCGTTTTTCTTCAGATCTCAGTAAATTGGTTTTTGCGAAGAAGAAGAGAGACATGTACACGTGTACGTCAATCATTGGGTAGACTTTCTAGCCTTAAAATACGCCTACTTGCACTAACTAGATCAAATCCAGCGAAAGACTCTCTTTCTCAAAGAGGATCTTGGCTAAACCCTAGAGACGCTTGTTGAAATGACGTTTATACCCCTAATGTCTTCTCTATATAAAGATCGCTTCATCACCATCTCTCTTCTTCACGACGCCTTACTGTGTTTAGGGTTTACAGATCAATTTCTTTCGAATTTGTAGCTTGTGTAGTGTTTTTATGGTTTATCTGAATCGTGTATCGATTAGAACGTAATTTAAGTGGGCTATATTGTACCAAGAGAAGGATTCTTTCTTAATCTTTCTCTTGAATTTGCCAAAATCGGCTGTAGCTAGATCGATTAAGAAGCTATCTGGCCGGTGGTCGCGAGAGAGATTTAGATCTCTCCGGTCGATTCATCTGCTTACCGAGTTTCTTAAATTATCTTGTGATTTTTCATCAAAGATTGATTAGGATTTATGTGATTTAAGAGAAAGGTTATTGAAAAAAAAGAGAATAGCTTATGTTATTTTCAAAATACCTTTCTCGTAGATCAAAATTTTAGGGCTCCTTTCCAGGCAATTTGTTCCTTTTTTCATGAGCAACTATGTGTCTTATTGGTGCCTATATCTCGATTAGTAGTATTACTCTAAATCAAATCACAATCTTTTTGGGTTTTTGAGGTTATAATTTCTTTTACCGAAGCATATCGATCAAATTTAATTATAATATTAACAATTGACACGGAAGTGATTAGTCATTGTGACAGTGAAGATTCAGATGTGTTTTGGGACATGGTTGAAGAAGAAAAATGTGATTTTTCAGTGTTGGTTCACAGTATATTCAAATTAAAACGGATCGGATACAGCTGAAGTAGATTGAAATTAAACCAGATTTTACAAATTTTGTTCGAGTCATGTGGAATCTTGTTATTCAGAATAATAATAATTCAAGTATTACGAAATTTCAAGTTTCACTGAGCTTAACAATCACTGTGGCCGGGATGTGGTGCGTTAGAAGAAACAATAAAATCACATCCTTTTCAAAATTCACTAGCCTTACAAGTAAAGGTTTTTTTCGGACTTTCCGTTTTTTCCGGATTGATTCTTTGAGTACATTTTTTTTTTCCTTTTTTTAACACTGAACCAATAAATTTTTTAACGGGAAAGAGATTTCCTGAGGGACACTCCAACTTGTGACAATAGAAGCGAAAAGTTGGAACATAGCAAACCAAAAAGACGAATAGGAAGAGATGGAGGGTTCACAACCCCATAGTGGACAAGGAAAACTACTCAAGGAACCCTAGATCTCATGCTGTCAAATCGATGCCTTTTGGATCGATCATGGACTGGTAAGTGGACTAGGGTGTTTTTTTGGGACAACATGGGTCATACCACATTAGGAGCGAGAGGGTGTCGTAGGAGCATATCAGCGCTACACGTGGAGTTAGACGAGATACTTTGGGCGATGGCTGTCCTAGAGAAAGAGGAGTTGTTACGGTTAGGTTCGAGACATAGTGTACAAGCTTGATACAAATAGCGGAGAACCCTTTCGATTAGCTAGCCTTTCATTCATAGTTAGACCATTTGTATCTCCTTAGGAAATCTTTCGAGGTCTTCAGTTTGTCTTTTA